GAAATGGAACAAATCGGACCAGAACCCGAAAAACCCACAAACCAAATAAGACATAAACTAAGAATCGAAAACCGGATTGAATACATTAACCAATCGTTCGGTTGTACTAAGAAATGCGCTATTTAAGAAAGTGTTCGAAACGGAACCGGACCAAAACCAAAAAAAAAAAAAAAAGTGGAATAAGTCGTAAACTAAGAACCGAGAACCGACTAACCAGTTCCAACCGGTTCGCGTCTGGTTCCGGATTGCTTTTTCGGTTCAAAAGCCCTTCCCTAGTTGACTCCAAGGTACCAAAATCTATTATTATGTGTTGTGAGTGGTTTTATGTTTGGATATTAATCACCACAATGCGTAAAGTGGTTAGATGCCCTTTGAGTGCGCATGTGCAATGGTCCACAAGTCAACTAGTATGTTATTATGTTGGTAAGGTTGTACATGGTGGGTTGTGTACTAGCCACGAAGCCATGTATGACTTATACCATGTTATGTAGGGAGGGTTGTACAACCGATACGATGTTTTGTGGACATACAAACCTTGTAGTATATTGTTGGATGGACATGGAATTCGATAAACAAATACTATCATCTTCAAGGTGCTGCAGGAAAAGCGCAGCATTTAAAAGAATACCAATCCCAGACACGGCTAGATTGTACCGAGTCCAAAGTCTATTGAAGTTGAAGAATCACATAAGGACATTTACCTTGCCGATAACATTTGTATATGTCTCTTGATTTTTTTGACACAACTGTGGACTGAAGTATTTATCGGATTCTGTAAACCTATTCAATTTGACGATTAAATTTAGTGTTTTGGTGGAGTGAAGGGCCTGATGCACCATGGTGAAATAGATCCCACTGCAGGAACAATGTGTGCAGTGACAAATAAATGTTCATTTTCCATTCCTTTTCCTTCCAAATTGATTAATTATAGAAAAGGGTGATATCTGTTCATGATTTGTTTTCAGCTTATAAATTGAATACCTTTAATTTATGGATCCTGGTTCGTGACATTAATTGCTACCAGCAACATTTCGTATACAAAAATCAAACACATTCTGTAATCAATATTTTAATGAAATACATGTATAAATGACCATAGGATATATATATATATATATATATATATATATATATATATATATATATATATATATATATATATATATATCACTCTGAAAACAAATAAATAATCATCCAAACATCATCAGCATTCGACAGAGATCTAGGTACTAAAAGTAGCAGTCTTAAGGTGAATCAATAGACATCTAGCTTGGTAAAAAGCATTACTTTATGGATGGGTAACGGAAGGGATAGGAAAATCCTTAGGCAACTCTGGCAATGTGGGCTTCGGAATGACGGGAAACGTGGGCTTTGGAAACTCAGGAACCTCAGGCTTTGGAACTACAGGAACATCAGGTTTTGGAACCTCAGGTAGCTCAGGCTTTGGAAGCACGGGAAGCTCAGGCTTTGGAAGAACAGGAATCTCAGGCTTTGGAACCACGGGAACCTCAGGCTTAAGCAACACGGGAAGCTCAGGCTTAGGAACGACCGGAAGCTCAGGCTTTGGAAGCACGGGAAGCTCAGGTTTAGGAAGTACGGGAATCTCAGGCTTAGGAATCACAGGAAGCTCAGGCTTAGGAAGCACTGGAAGCTCAGGCTTTGGAAACACGGGAAGCTCAGGCTTAGGAAGGTCAGGGATCTCTGCAAGTTTACGTGCCTCAGCAATGATGTTCCCGCTAAATGATGCTAAGCTGACAGAAACAAGAATCAGGATTATGGAATTTAGGTGAGAACGTCCCATGGTGTTGCAAAAGGTAGATATTAGAAACTAAGAAGTTAATTCGAGATGGCTTGAAATGGTATATGTGTTCATTTGGATTTATATAGTGGACGTGGGATGTTGGGAATACTGTTAAGTACGTGAGTTGGTAGGAATTTCTTAGATTTGGGAGTGTTAGCTCAACTTCTCATCTGTACATAAGAGTTGAGCTGTCTTATTAAGATATGAAAATGTGGGGATGAGACTTGGCGACTTTCCTTAGGAGGGTTTAATAGAAAGCATATTTGTTTATTTATTTGACAAATGAAACATAGTAGGTTCTTCATAATGCAAAAAGTCGTAGGTTATAAATTTTAGTTATTGATAGTAAAAGTGGAAAATATAAACAGAATTTATGTAATTCAATTCGATGAAATAAATTACATCCTTATTGCTTGGTTGGAAGATAATAATTCAAACATCCACCTTAACTTAATTTCCTAGTGCACATTATTGACTGATCCAAAACAATTAAAATTTGGGCCGGTACACAAGAAAATATATCTAGGAAAGCAGGTAAAATAATTTTTTTCCAAACCGAAATTTCACTTCAACTGACTTTACATTCGTTAGAAATTAAATTACTTTTTCTATGAACTAGAACTAATGAGGAGCTTGATTTACAAAGTGATGCACGACGGTTAAGCAGGCCTAAGATTATACCGCCAACCATTCTGGTGGATAGATCTACCAAATTTGGAGAAGTTCAAGATTCCAAAGAAAAGAGAAAAACCGCACCTCACTTGCTAAATTAGCATTGATCATTTACTTACTCATTTATTATTTATTTTTATAAGCATTCGAGTAGTAAAATATTCGGTTCTTGCCAACTTTTCATAATTAAACATTTACTTCTTTACGATTCTAATTAATCCGGACACTTTCCTTCCCTTTGACATCATACACTTATGTAGGTCACGTATTTAACACCCCAAATTTTAAGAGGCATATAGTCATGCCAAGGTACATGAAAGGGGAACAAGATAGAATGTGGCATACGAACACTTGCAAACAAGAAATGGTTTTTGGATGCGAGTTTAAATCCTTAAACTAAGGTTGTAAGTATTAAGCAAAATGTAAGAATGCTTAAAATTCAGGTTTTGGTTAATGCAAGAAATTTATTAGCGAAATGAAGAAAAGTGAACATGTGAATAATTACAAGGAAATGGCAATGAAATCCAGTTTTTAGTGCACTGTATAAGTAATTTAGTTGTTCCTATATGGATCAACTAAGAATGAATTGCAAAAAAAAAAAAAAAAAAAAAAAAAAAAAAAGCTTTTTGGACTTTAAATGGAAAAATTATGTCAAATGGAAGTGTTAAGGGTTTTTATGAGATGTACCACTTGAAAAAACTATGGAAAACCGTGGTTCGGAATCAGAAATTTTGATGCTCACACATAATGTTAAACCAAAAATAAATAGAAAGGGAATTTGCCTTTCCTTCCATTCCCTTTCCCTAAATTTCAACCCAAAAAGGACTCAGAGGAAATATTTCATGAAAAAAAAATAGTATTTTCTTCCCCTGCCAATCCTCTGTTTCCTTTCCTTTCCTTCCTTAAAGCCTTGTTACCGAGTTCCACTGAAGGAAGGAAAGGAATGAAAGTTGAAAGAAGTAGGAAAAAAAAAGAAGATAAAAAAAGGGGTTTCATTTTTTTAAGTAGGGATGATGACATGCATTTGTATGTCATAAACTTATGACATGCATTTTATGATACCTTAAATGCATGTCATCTTCCTTTATAGCATTGTCTATAATGACACACAATTACAACACATGTATACAATATATTTTACGACACTTATTTTGCATGCCTATGCGCACATGATTATTTGCTCGTTGGTTGGGTTGAGGCGGTACTGCTTTGTGCTGAAGGCCAACATACCCTATGAGCGGTCCGGGGAGACTGTAGGCCCACGTTGCAGTCCAGTCATGCCGAAGGCTCGGTATAGATTCAGTTACACTGTAGGCCCTGTAGGGCGGTCCAATCAAGTCGATGGCCCAATACGCATGTTTATTGATTGATTATTACTGATATGGTATTATCAGTGTGGTATTGGTATTTTGGAGGTAGCTCACTAAGCCCCCGGGCTTGTTGTTTCAGGTACTTCAAGAGATCATGGCAAGGTCAAGGCGTGACCGTACCGCTCCTCATCCTTATGATCTGGTTGTTGGGTCACTCTGATTGAATAGTGATTGGAAAACATTTTCTATAAACAATACCATTGGGTTTTATTTATGATTGAAAAAGCTTAAATTTGGTGTAAAATTAATGGATGTTATAAGTTGGTATCAGAGCCTTGGTTTGAGTGAATTGGAGGAACATTCATGTGAATCCAGTCTCAAATCAAGGGAATGGTTGGAAAATAATTTTTTTAAATAGTTTTCAAAATAAAGGATGGATGATGCAGAGGGTACGATCAGCTGAAGCCGTAAGTAACCCCAAAATACCATACAGTTATTTGATATTAAGATATGTTCACTACAAGAAAAATAGCCTTTAATGACGTGCAAACAATGACACTCGCTGATTCACATTACGTATTTTTGGGCGTCCTTAAAAATATTGTCAGACTTCCAAAATTTGAAGGATAGTGGACACGCATTTTTGCGTGCCCTTAAATTAGTGTTTCAAGAAAAAAAAATTAAAAACACGGAGGGCGCTTTATCTTAAGCATGCGTCTTCTGTAGGTGTCGCTTTATAATTTTAAGGAAACGCGCCTTGAGAAGATAATGGGGGGAAACGAAACCCTAAAATTTTGAAAACCCGCCTTTCTTTTCTACCTTCTTTTCTTCATCTTCACAATCAAATCTCCCCTTTTGTTTCTCTATTTTGATGGTTGTTTCCCTCTTGCCCTAATCATGTCGTCGCCGCGAATCACACACCGAAGCAACGAAAACATTGTAACTTTGTCTTAATTGTTTCATGGTGGTTGAAAAGGTTTTCCTTGTGTATCAGTTACCACTATCTTCACCGTCATCTGACCTTCACTTGGTTCTAACGAAAAGTAAAAAGCATGGTTTGTGTATTTGTAAACCCGATATAGATATTTTTGGGTCCAATTTATAGGGATTACCATAAATCCCCCTAAATCCAACCATTACTCATTCATTCCCCATAAATCCCTTCATCTTGATTACGATCTACAAACCCCCTAAATCCCCCAGTTAGAGCATCTACCATGGATGTTGTACGCCGACCTAATCTCGATCTTAGTAATTCTTCACCCATTTCATCAATTTACACCAAAACCCCTCAAACACCAACCTCTTCAACTTTTCCTTATAAGTACCGATTATCTTCTTCCAATTTCAATGGTTACCATAGCAATTGTAAAGTACCAACACCACCTCAAGCTTTACCCAAGGCAAATTCGAACGAATCAGTTGAATCCAATAAGAAATTGATTGATTCAATCGCTAAAGGTTTGATCGGGCTCGCTGCTGCAGTCTCTGTTTGTTTAGATTCGCCAGCTCTTGCCGAGTCCTTGGCAATAGCATTCCCGGCTTCTCGTACTCATGAGGTAGGTGTTCAGTTCGATCGTCTTTTTTAGTAGTTTGTTTGGGTCGTGCAGATAAGGTGTTCGATCTATTGCTTATATGGGTTTGGTAAAATTTGATTTCATAACAGGTGAATGCTGTGCAACGAACTCTCGTAGAGACTTGGGGTTTGAGATGCAAAAAATTGAAGATCACAACTTATAAACATATCTACCAAAAAATTTTATTAGAAGTTGTTACATAAGTATCCCAAGGATCTTATTGTTCACTGTAATCATTTCTATAGCACTCCTTTCCTCTTTTCAGAAGATACTTCTCAATTGTGCATACCAAATATTTATGAACTTGATGTTATTACTGAAAGCTGAAAAAAGAATTAGTGTTGGTTAAAAGTGTTGTTGAACTTTGGTTGTATTATTGGTATTATCATTTTTATTTTCCATACTATATCTTGTGTATCGATATGCTCTACAGGCAGCAGACATAACTCTGCACTAGCAACACTTGATGGAATTGATGTAATGGGAAGCAAATTAGCAGATGAGGTGAGTATCAACCTCCTTAATCATTTTTAGGGTTAAATCCAAGACCTAGAAATATTCATTTCTGCTATGACACAGCATTGTAGTTTGAAGTAAAAGCGGTGGTTTTGGTTGCAGGTGATATCTATGATAGAACGCAATCCAAAAGTTGAAAAGATATCATTTATAGGTCACTCACTTGGTGGCCTGATATCAAGATATGCTATTGCTAAGCTCTAGACACATAATCAAACATACCAAGACAGATCTGGAAAAATTGCTGGAGTAGAGGCTATTAACTTATTACAGTTGCGACTCCACACCTTGGCTCAAGAGGACACAGACAGGTTTGTAAATTGTGAGTTAATTATTTGGAAATAGTTGATGGAAGTGTTGGTGGTTTCAGGTCCCAATGTTCTGTGGAGTCAGAGGTCTTGAGAAAGTAGGGTACCACAGTTCAGTGGTGGTTAGAAGAACAGGAAGACATCTGTATTTCAAAGACAAGGCTAATGGATAGAGACATACCCCTCTTTTGGTTCAGATGGCCAATGATTCAGAACACCTAAAGTTCATGTAAGTCTTTCATTGACACCCCCCTTTTTTTCAGCTAAACACAGTAGAAAAGAAGGAGAATTTGGAGATCTGTTTGCATGAATTTTGTGGTTGATTTTGTAGATCCGCATTGCAGTCGTTCAAACGCCGTGTTGTTTATGCAAATGTCCATTCAGACCGTATCCTAATATTTTTTCCAGAAAAAATCTACCATTAAGTTTTGGATGTTTTTTTTCCTTAACTCAAGCACTTGAAATAGATCTTGTGGGATGGATCACATCATCAATCCGTCATCAGATTCAGCTGCCTAAGGTAAAAAAATAAAATAAAATAATACTACTGGGTATAGTGTAATTAATTTATCTCAGTATTTTTATAGATTAAAAATCTTGTGAGAAGTGGTAGATATCCCCATATTCTCAAGGAAGATGCATAAAATATCACAAAATAAGAAACCTCTCTGGACCCACAGCCCAAAACCCACAAGACTAAGACAGCCACTGCCACTGCCACTGCCAGCATGGAAGGTAGCAACCAATTCATTATTCAACTGCTGAGTTATATGAATTCTAATACCATCAATTAAAAATGCAGAAATGATGATTAAGGGATTGAGTCAAATAAGCTGGGAACGGGTTGATGTCAGCTTTAAAGGAAGTAACCAAAGATACCTTGCACACAATACAATCCAAGCAAGCATCACACCCCCGCCCATATGTTTCTTTACATTTCAATCTCTATTATTTATTATTATTATTCATGTTGTTGTTCAAACTTAAAATAAAATTTCCCAATTTGTTAGGCAACTTTATGCCAGTCAGACAATCTGTGGAAGATCACAACTTATAAACATATCTACCAAAAAATTGAAGTTGTTAAGCATCTGAATGTGGTTCTTTCCCAAGTTTGGGATGCAAACCAAAAAAGTAGCAATGGGAAGAAATTCTTCTAAAGCACTTGCTAGTCCAAAAGTTTCAAAAACTCAGAAGAAGGTGCCTGAAGATGTCAACAACCAAGAGAACAGAGCCTCTCAGATGATTACATCCTCTACTAGAAAAAAAAACCACGTTAGTTGGTTACCCTTTTTTATTTTTTGACATTATTATTACTTTTTGTTCACTGAGGATTATAAATTTTGATGCTTTATGTATCTATATCTTTTGTAACTAGCAGCAGCCACTTACCCAAAGGATAGCAAGGAGAATGTTGATGCAACTAATTTAAATGCTAGAGGCATATGTTTGGACAATGATTCTTATATTGCAATCAACAACATGTCTGTGGATTCTGAGGTAATGATATATCTGTCCATTTGTTGTTTGACTTTTGGATTTCATTTTCATCAATCATCATCATAAGATAAATGGCAATATCTTGTAATTATGGAATCTCACAAAGTGAAAGTGTTTCTTTTTTATATGATGTAGGGATGTGAGACAATAGAATCTTTTTCAAATGGAACCATATTTTCTCTGGCATTCCATATTTCCAGAAATACTGAAGGAGAAATTGTAGATGGAGGTATATAATTAAACTGCTATTTTGCTTACATGAAACAGATTTAGCTTAATATTAGCATAAATTATGTTTATTTGTGATACATAATTAGGATGTGGTCTATCAAGTGAAGTGTCAGCCATATACAAATGATGAAAGACTCAAAGCTAGTGAACACAATAGATCGAGATGGGAACATGCTTCCTATTAACATGATCAATGGCCTTGCTCTTACTCGTGATCCGCTAGTTGTTCTTGTAAGTTTTTTTTTTACAGGAAAATCTATGTATTCACCTTCTGTTACATCTTTTGCTAGTGCTGACATGGCAGTGAGAACTGGCTGTGTTAATGTGTCCCATTCTCATAACCCTGGTAACAGGGAGCACACAAAGGCTACATCTCAAGAAACATGTGACAGTTGGCGAAAAAGGTGTTGTTTTAGCCCCCCCCCCCTTTTTTTTTTTTTTGATATTTTACATTTGTATAAACCTAATATGCTTTTGATTTCTGAAATATATTGATTTGTGCAGGGGAAACGAGGCTTATAAGAGTGGAGATTTATCAGAAGCTGAAGTATGTTATTCAAAGGGTATTAGTTCAATACAACATACAGAGACACCTGGTGTTTGTATACAACTTCTTATTTTCTGTTATATCAATCGTGCAACTATACGCATGGAATTGACTGAAATTCATTCCATTTCCTCTAGCCAACCAAACATGATAATGGAATATAATGATCTATTCCATTATTGTTATGGATTTTATTTGTTTATGTATGCTCTTACAAGATTTGTTGTAAGTCCTTTAATCCCAAGCCACTAGACATCAGGACAGTTATTAGCTTTTGTACAAAATCGTCTAATTAAATGTACCTTTTAAACTGGGATAGTGCAGGCCTATGCATGAGATCACATTTTCAACAATAGACATACCAAAGCTCCTAAGTCAGGTATTAAAAATTCCACCTTTTGCCCTTGGCTTGATGCATATTTACTATGTAGCTTATTATTTTGATTTACAGTACTTGCAGGAAATTAGAAGTGAGGAGCTACATAATGATGTTTCATAGCTGCTCCCTGGTTATAAACAGGTATGAATATGATTTACACTCCTAGTTCACATTGTATCCAATTATGGAGAGGATATTTGGCCCCATAGTAGTAGCTTGTTTGCAGGAGTAAGCAATTTTTCTTTAATTTAGTTTTTCTTTTACCATTTGTTTAATTTAATTATTCATTTTTTATGTAATTGTTGATTTTGCATGAGAGAAAAAAAGTTTTATATATGAATCTTGAAAAATGGGATGTTTGTTTGATAAGTGAGGTCTTGAATATGTTTTGTGTAGGTTGTGTCTATACCACTACTCACAAGTAATCCATTCATAGCCATGTTGACTGGGTTTGCTCTCTCGTTGACTTTAAATTGTGCATCCATTATAACGAATGTTTTATCTGTAAGTTTTTCAAGGACTAAATCTGTCTACTTCATTAATTGCATGCTACTATTAGTTTACTACTTAACATAAGTGTAACATCCGGATTTTACCAGGTATCTTGTAAATCTAATTTTGTCATATTGTGAGAGGGACTCGGCGAGTTGGAGCTCAGACTCGCCGAGTAGAGACGCGGAATTGAACATTGGTGCGCGCCTGGACTCGGCGAGTCCAGGATATGGACTCGGCGAGTCTGCGCTGTGTAATGAAACCCTAAATCTCCGGGTTTGAGGCCTATTTAAAGGGCCTTATGGCCGTCATTTGTGCTCACCCAACCCTCAGTGAGTGACCCTTGTGTTCTTGAGCTATTTGTGAAGAGAAAGGAGCCATTCTTGATCTTGTGTGTGTTATTTAGCAAGAAGAAGGAGACCCTAGGCAAGAGGAAGCAAAGGAGGTTGCTATTTCGTGAATTTGGAGCTTAGATCATCACTCTAGAGGTATTATCTCGGACCATTTTCTGTTTAGTGAAGCATGATGCAATTTAGGGCTTGTGGTGGTCATTTATGGGATGATTTGATGCCCATTGGTTCCCTCTTTGAGTTGATGCCATGGATCTGGATCCATAGAGGTCCAGAGAGCCTCACTCATCAAGCTTTATGAGTGACAATAGAGTCTTTGACCTTGTGTTGTAGTATTTGAGTCATAAACATCATATACGGTCATATAGAGGTTGTATGTGCATCAAGATTGTAACTTTACGTGCTAAATGAGCTTGGAGAGACTGGATCTATGGATTAATGAACTGGATCTGACCTTTAGAGAAAAGATTGAGTCAGTGCATGGCATGGACTCGCCGAGTCCGAAGAACAGACTCGGCGAGTAGCATGAATGTTGCCCGACCACACTGTGAGTGGCCTCGCCAAGTTGGGAAAGGTGGACTCAGTGAGTCAAGGGGGAGTCAGAATGGACAGGTGGACTGAGTCTAACTGGACTCGCCGAGTTGTTCTTGAGACTCGGCGAGTTGAGTCGTGGTGACCCCACAACTCGTGCCAGGTGGAACTCGTCGAGTTGAGGGAATGCTCGACGTGTCAAGGGAGGATTCCAGGGAAATTGGTGTACACGCCCAGACTCGCCGAGTCGCCTGGGTACTCGCCGAGTCCGGTCAAAGTTGACCGTTGACCGTTGACCAGCGTTGACCTAGATTGACTTGTTATAGTGTGGTCAACCCTAGTTGGGAAAGTGTTAATTAGAGGTGTATTGTGCTATAGGGGGACGACAGCTCGACAGGTCGAGTGATTAGCGATTTCAGGTTTACGATTTACCGAGACACGCGAGGTGAGTCTTCTCACTATACTTTACCTTGAGTAGGTAACCAGAGTTATGTGATAGAGTATTTGTATGCTATGTATGTTATGTGTTGTACTGCATTACTTCTATGTGATTTATGTGTGCATGTTTACAGAGTTAGAACCTGAGGGTTCACAGAGTTTGGGTGCACGGACCCACAGAGTTATAGCCTCGAGTGGCTAATATGTGTTATATGTAGTATTTTGGGGAACTCACTAAGCCTTGTGCTTACAGTGTTGATGTTATTGTTTCAGGTACTAGTGACGACCGCGGGAAGGCGCCGGCTTGATCCGTACACACACACATTCGGAGCTTGATATCATGATCTTGGGATTTTGTATTGTCTTGTTTGGATAATTAAAATGGTTGTTTAATGAATATCAATGGAATTATGTTTTATAAAAATTGAAAAATTTGTTTTGAAAATTTTCGGTGTTACAAATTGGTATCAGAGCCTTGGTTTGAGGGATTCGGGTACACCTTCGGGGGTATTTGAACTCAAACTGAGGAATTGAAGAGATATTTCAAAATAAAACCAAAGTTTTCTAAGAGTAAAAGATTTTCCAGGAAGAAACGTGTGTACGATCAGCCAGCGCCCGAACGGTGAATTCCCAAAATACCTTTATATTATGTGATAATTATTATTAATGTGATGTATTTGCATGCTAGAGTAGGCTAGGTATTGCTAATAGGACTAGAGTGGCCTGTTTTGTGATGCCTTAGCCTAGGGAGGGGTGAGCTGCTATGAGATGCTGAGAGTAATTAGGTAGCAGCTAGGACTTTGTGTGAGACCTGTTACAGAGTGATTTAAGTATAATAGAGTACTTGGGGATTGGGATCCGAAGAGGAAGATTTGGGGTGTGTACTGAGACGGTGCGGACAGTAGTATTGGGCCCGTACTACTGAAAGCACCGGTGCGGTACACAGTCCAAATAAGAATCTTGGGATACCAAGAATCAAGGAGGGGTGGATTGTCGAATGTAAGAGTGTTCGAGTAAATTCTAATTATCGCATGTTGTATTTCAGAGGTTGATCATGGTGAGGACACGTCACATGCCGGAGGATGCCGGAACTAGCGATGAGGAGATTCGACAGATCATTCATGAGGAGGTGGCTGCGGTCATCAGAGCTGAGTTACCAGAGATGTTCGGGTCCATTAAGACCGCGTTGATTGAGACATTTGACGAGCGCTATGCCGCTCTTTCTGAGGCTGCGGTTGCAGCGGCTACCGCAGCGATTGCTGCGGCAAGACCCCAGGGAGGTGATGCGACATTGTTTAGGGAGTTCAGCAACACCAAGCCACCAGAGTTTGATGGTACGCAGGATCCGGTGGCAGCTATGAGGTGGATATCTGATATGGAGGGATGCTTCTTCACTTGCTCGTCCCCTGAGCATTTGAAGGTTCGGTTCGCGCTGAACCAGCTTCGCTTGGGAGCGAAGGACTGGTGGAAGTTTGTGACGGCACACTTCACACCGACTGAGCTTTCGGCAGTGACCTGGGAGAGGTTCACTACCATGTTCCGAGATGAGTACGTTCCTCAGGTGGAGAGGTCTGACACAGTTTCTGACCCTCAAGCAGGGTACCGAGTCAGTCACAGCTATTACGAGGATGTTTCATGAGAGGGCGATGTTCTGCCCTGAGCACGTGTCCACCGAGCAGGCACGTATGAGCCGTTACCTGAGCATTCTGAGACGGGATATTCGGGAGTTCGCTGCGAACTCCTCGTATCGGACATTTGCCGAGCTTCAGGCAAATGCTCGGAAGAGGGAGATTGAGCTTGAGACTCAGGCCAGGGAGGAGGCGGAGTCTCTGGGGAGGGATCGGCGGCCGGCACAGTCCCAGCCGGCAGCCAAGCGGGCCAAGCCCGCTGATCCCCGACCCGGGAGCCAGAAGGGCCGCACTTGTGGAAAGTGCGGCAAGGGTCACGATGGAGTCTGTCGAGCGGGGTCTTGCTACAAATGTGGCAAGGAGGGGCATATGGCCAAGGACTGCCCCAAGGGGTTTACAGTGTGCTTCCACTGTAACCAGACCGGACACCGGAAGGCAGAGTGTCCGCTGCTGCGCGGAGCATCTCAGGGGTCTGCTCCCGCCATCAGAGCTACTGCTACAGAGAGTCGGCCCGTGAAGGCCGAGGCACCGAGGGCTCGGGGGAGAGCCTTTCAGCTGACTGCGGAAGAGGTCCGCGCTGCACCCGACGTTGTGGCTGGTACGCTTTCTTTTTATTATTTATTTATGGTGTTGAGATATTATGCTTATATTATGCTATGCATAGGTACCTTCCTTGTGAATTCTGTACCTGCTTTAGTGTTATTTGACTCGGGTGCGAGTCGATCTTTTGTATCTTTGACATTTAGTCAGCATATCAGTGTTAGTCGTGGGGCACTGAGTCGGCCCCTGCGGGTTTCCATAGCCGCCGACAGAGTGATTTGTGCCACGGAGGTCCTCCGGGGATGTGTATTGGAGATTTTTGGGGTTGAGTTCCCGATCGACCTGATTCCTATTGCGATGGGTGATGTCTGTGTTATAGTGGGCATGGACTGGTTGAGCCGATTCGGCGCGGTTATCGATTGCGAGCGTCAGCTGGTGACTATACGAGATCCTAGTGGGGGAGTTCTTTCGGTTTACGGCGAGGGTACACGTTCTGGATCAGCCTTTTGTTCGGCTGCTAGGGCGAGGCAGTGTTTACAGCAGGGCTGTAAGGGTTTTGTGGCGTATGTGATGGATACGCGAGTGATCTCCGAGAGACCGAGTTCGGTGGATGAAGTTCCGGTGGTGCGTGAGTTTCCAGATGTCTTTCCCGAAGAGTTACCAGGTGTGCCTCCCGTGAGGCAAGTGGAGTTTGGTATCGATTTGGTTCCGGGAGCCGCGCCTATCGCTAAGGTGCCGTATCGCCTTGCGCCTCCAGAAATGCAAGAGTTATCCTCGCAACTTCAGGAGTTGCTGGGGAAGGGGTTTATTCGGCCGAGTAGCTCGCCGTGGGGAGCACCCATCCTGTTTGTGAAGAAGAAAGATGGCTCGCATCGCATGTGTATTGATTATCGGGAACTGAATAAGTTGACGGTCAAGAACCGTTACCCGTTGCCGAGGATCGACGATTTATTCGATCAGTTACAGGGAGCATCTTGGTTCTCCAAGATTGATTTGAGGTCGGCTATCATCAGGTGAGAGTACGGGACGAGGACGTCCAGAAGACAGCATTCAGGACGCGTTATGGGCATTATGAGTTTGTGGTGATGCCTTTTGGGCTCACCAATGCCCCGGCTGTGTTCATGGACCTCATGAACAGGGT